ATATATGGAATTGCTCTTTCTTCACTTGTGGTGCCAAATCCATATAGTTCTAGAGTAAAATCTGGCCTTCTTCTTCTCTGTGATCTGAGATCACAAACATAGATCTTGTGTACATACTGCTGCTCCCATTCAAACACCTTGTATTCTTAAAATAAAAGTATACAATATATATGCATATATTACATTCTATAATAATGATATATTATTAAATAGAGTGATAACTATTTATTAATATTACATACAACATTATGAACTTAACAATCAGAAAAACATTTCAAAAAACAGAAAAGAACAAAAATGGATTGCATATGAAATGATGAATTCTGTTCTGTGCAGTTTTTTAAAGTTATATATTAAATTTAACATGGTAATTTCAGAGAGACAGGATGAAGAGAGAGCCTCAGAGACAAGAAGAGCAGGGTTGAAGTTCTTCCTTTCTTTCCTTCTTTTCTCTCTCCCTTCCTTCCTTCATTCCTTTGTTTCTTCCTCTCTCTCTCTCTGTTCCTTCCTTCCTTCCTTCCTTCCTTCCTTCCTTCCTTCCTTCCTTCCTTCCTTCCTTCCTTCCTTCCTTTCTTTCTTTCTTTCTTTCTTTCTTTCTTTCTTTCTTTCTTTCTTTCTTTCTTTCTTTCTTTCTTTCTTTCTTTCTTTCTTTCCTGCCTTCCTGCCTTCCTTCTTCTCTTTCCTCCATCCTTCCTTCCTTCATTTCTTTTCTTTTTTTCCTTCTTTCTTCTTTCATTGAGAAGTTAACTGATATGCCCAGGGTCACACAGTTAATATATGCCAGGGGCAAAACTTGAATCCAGATCTTCTTGAGTAAGACTAGTTCTCTGTGCAACATGCCAAGCTGCCTCTCTTCATAACACTCTGCCTAGATATTTTATGTTGACCAGTATTTTAAGTGCATATTTTCACCAAGTTGTTTTCATTGCTTGAGATTTTTTAGTATCCAAAAGGAAACTAGACTGCCCTCAATGAAAAGAAAGTGTTTAGGGGTGCAATTCACAACCAGCAGTCAATTGGCGTTTTCAGACAATATTAGAAGGTATTGTAATTTCCCATGTTGCTTATTGTGGTTTATATATGCAGGGTTGAGAAAACACAGGGGGCGTATTTCAGCTTGTTACATCAAATTGTTAGATGTATTATTTGTATTTCCAGAGACCTCCTGCACTCTTTTGTTTTACAAAGCACTATGACTGTCATGTTTGACTAACCCTCTTTGTTTTATTCCTGTTTACTCTGAAAGGTGAGGGCTCAGACTATGTTCTCTCAGACAGCAGTCTGTGTTCCAGGCATCCACTTGAACAATAGGCATCCAATCAAGATGTCATCCTTCTAAAGCACTAATGTCGAAAAGCAAAGACCTCTGGTCTGTCTTATTATATGAATCAAGAGAGGTCAAGTCCTCCTTTACCATATACTCCAAAACATCATAGCTTTTAACAAATCCATATGCACCCTGATTCTATCCACAAGGCTTTGAATTAGAACAGTCAAGAACTTGACAGCAAAAGAATATCCTTTAGATCAGCAAGTCACGTGTATGTTCTTACATTGAAACCAAATGATGTTTCTACTTGTTAATCAATTAAAGAATTCAATAATCAATGATTAGTGCTCTCAATAAAAGAGAGTATTACTGCTGTCTGCCAATTCAAACTCAGAGCATTTTTTTTTGTAATTGAAAGGCTTGCAAATTTTCCAACATTTTAAATTAAATAGTCATTACTTTTACAGATTTCATTTCTGGTTTACCTTAGGATTCTTAACAAGTAAGTAATGCCACCATTTACCTCCCTAAACCTTACTTAAAGGGGCTATTTCTTCCTATTACACATCTTTCCCCTCAAAAAAACACAAGCCATTTGTCTTTTTTTCAAAATTATGAAATATGTCATTTGAAATTACAAGAAAAGTTAAAAATTCTAATTTTGAGTATGTTTTCCAAAAACATCAGTGATAGGTCCTATGGATAAGAAAAACATCACTACTGTATACTTTTGGGCTTGGAAATGAAATAGGTACCTAATATTTGGGGAATTGCTAAACAAAATTTGGCAAGTTTTTTTTTAATATTATTGCCATAGAAGAAATGCTGAATATGAGAAAAACAGAGGAAAAATGTGAGTCGTATGAAGTAATACTGAGCAAAGAAGGCCATAATCAATACAAAATACCCATGGTTACAATTACATAAATGAAAATATAAAAGCAATTTGACTCTGGCTAATTATAATGAACAATCTCCATCAAGGAAAACTGATAAGGACACACATCTCTTTAATAGAGAGGTAGGAACTTCAGAAGTGGATGTGGCATGTAGTATATAGGGGAAAGTAAAGGGAAAAGACAAGTCGCTGTGTTAGTTCATCTCGAAATATTTTTTGTTTTTACAAAGACAGGTTGGGAAATTAAAGATCTGACAGAGGAGTATGATTAGGGAGGGGTAACTGTTGTAAAATGAAACAAAACAAAACAACTAACTTGTGAAACTAATGGAAATTTATATTAACTTTCTTTTAAGTTTAAAATGAAAAAGGCTTCTGAATCTCAGCTCTTAATATATCCTGTATCCTCACGTTGCTGCAGTATCCTGTCAAGTAAATTGCTTAGTGAGTGGGGATAGCTAGGTGGCGCAGTGGATAGAGCACTGGCCCCTAATTCAGAAGGACTTGAGTTCAATTCTGGCTTCACACACATAATACTCATGACCCTGGGCAAGTCACTTAACCCCCATTGCCCAATCAAAAAGAATTGTTTTTTGAAATATCTCTCAGACTGTTACCCAGCCCCATATTTTGTATGTATCTTCCCCACTGTTGAATGCTTATTGACACAAAGTAAGACTGTCTCCCTCCTTCTCCCTACTCAAAGAGCTGTGTGGTTCAAGAACACTTTCCTACAATACAAGTGCACTATCTCCTATTGCATTTAACTTGCCTATAAAGAATCCATAGTTTCAACATTGACAATTGGTTCCTCCTCTGTTGTTGTCATAAAAAAAAAGATCTTATTGCCTATTATTTTAGCATACAAGAACCTTTAAAAACACAGAAAATGAAATGTTATCTTCCCTAAAGATATTTTTTTGTGTCTTTTATTTTATTTAGCAGATGCCTTTGTTTGCTCTTCATTTGGAGTAGATTGCAAATGGCTTCTTCATTTTTTTTCCTTTTTCTTTCTTCCTTTTTTTCTATAAGGGGGAGGAGAGTATCTCTGGAAGTGAGAGTTCTAAGTATGGAAATAGGTTGCTGCTCATTCATATTCTGATTCAATTCAATAATCCAATTAAGCCTTTATTAAGTGCCCAATATATGTAAAACACTGTGCTAAGAGATAGAATGGCAAAATAAATCAAGTCCCTCCCTCCCCTCCTTGGACAAGCTTACATGCTGCTGTGGAAAACTAACACATCCACAGATATATTGCATACAAATACTACATGTGTGTGTATATATACATATATGCATATATATGTGTATATACATATATATATTTATGTATACACATATAGTATCAATTTATAAGAATATTAAGTAATTTCCAGAGAGAGGGTAACGGAGAGCTGTTACAACTAGGGAGATTAGAAAAAGTCTCAGATTAAAAATATTGCTATAATTCCCAAGACAAAAATAGCAGGTGGGCAATTTTAGCTGGATGATGCCCAACTGACTTACTCTTGAGAATCTTCTTTTTTTTTGTTAGCCACATCAGTGATCACTATAGGGTGCTCCCAGTGAGTTAATTCCTTCTACCAATGCTGACTGACAGTTGCCTGGGGGCGCTATGAAGTTATGTGACTTGCAAGGTCACAAAGTCAGTCTATACGTATTGACAGTCTTACTAAGTCTGAGGCTGGCTCTCTGTTCATTAGGCTACATTGTGGATCTAGACACAATGAGCCTTCCACAAAGGAAATAATTGTATTCAGCCAAAAATCTCAACATAGTGACTTATTTACATCTTCAAAGCACTTCCTTTTCTAAACATCCTTTTACTTTTATACAGCTTCACTGTCCTATGTGCTTTGTTGTTGTGCAGTCATTTTTCAGTCATGTCCTGTAGCTATCCTTAATAAAAAACAACACAAAAAAAAAAACCAAACAAAAAACCAAAACAAAATATTTTTTTTCTCAAAGGAGTTATAAGTAGAAGCTATGCTATGTCATAAGCAAGAGAATTTGTAGATCAATCCATATAAACCTAATATCATTTGTTAAAAAAAACCTAAAAAGAATTATCAGTTCATAATTGCAACATTGGCATGAAGACTTCAGAATTCTGCCTTATTACTAAATCTCAAAATTCTTTCTGCCTAACTGAGCTCTTGCAATGAATGATATTCTCTCTGGTGGTTTAGATTGCTCCTGCACGTGGGAAAATGCCCTGACCCTACCAGAAGTGTTAACTCCAATACCTCTTTTCTGAATCCCTCTCAGTTATAGACCTACTATGCAATTTTCTTTCCAACCACGTTACATTGAACTTTGCAAAATGTTTTTTTAATTTAATTTAATTTTTTCAATTTATGGAATAAAACAAGCATTTCCATAACACAGTATAATAAAAAAAAAATTACATGAACCTGTAAATCTATTATGTACAACTTGCTATCCCTTTTAAATACATAATAAAGTTATCATGTAAATTTATTTTTTTTCTTTCCTCCCCCCTCCCAGAGATGGCTTCCATTAGGCACAAATAGGTATATATATATGTAAAATTATTCTATACATAATTCTATTTATCAGTTCTTTCTCTGGATGCAAATAGTGTTTTTTTAAAATGCTTGTTTTCAAAAACTGTAAGTGAAATCCAATTACAGTCTTCTTTCAGGCTTTGCCATTCTCCAGTTCCTATAAATCAGCTGTCAAATTAATAAGAAACAAACTAAAACCTCTGATTCTCTGCAAATTTGTATACTACAGCCTCGCATCTTTGCTACAATATAACTTAATTATTAAAGAATAAAATATGAAGGAAAAATATTGTAAAATTACCTTTAGCTTATTAATTGTCCAGAGTTCAGAGGTCTCTTGTCTGTTTGCAGTTTTGTGTAGTGTTATATAAATTACCACTTCCTGTTTGGCTCCGGGCCATGAATTTCCTGTCTCCTGCATGTACAATTCTACACAGGCATTTGTGGTTTAAGTGTTTAGGGTTTTTTAAAGTCCATGTCAAAAGTGCAGCATGCATTAACCTAAGCATTGTAGATTAACATGTGTGTTGGGAGGAGGGGGAGGACTACTGTCAATTATATCCTTTCGTGTACAGTAAGTGGAGAGCAACCTCCAATTCTAAAAAAACAAACAAAAAATAAAAGAAACCCTTCTCCCTTCTCTTTAAAAGGGACTTTATATTCTCTTATAAAAATGAATAGGAAAGACACATAGCATTTTTAATCATTACTGGAGAACTGAACTAGTGAGAACCCAAAGTAATGTGTAGCCCTCATTCATAATGCAAAATAAAAGAAAACCACAGACTACTATGGTTTTATCAGTCTGTAATCACTTTGTGCTGTAGCAATACCCCTTGCCTCTGCAATGTTTCAGACATTTGCCTTACAAAATTTGGACAAAAGGGAATATGCTTTGTGAGTAAATGAATGAATATAGATGAAGCTTCTAAGCATTCAGCCAGACTTTTAAATTAGAAGACTAGTCTAGGATTTTTTCTTAAAAAAAAAACACAAAAAAACCCCAGAGAAACCAAAAAAAAAAACCCAAGGCATTTCTTCTTCCTGAAGGTAAACTTCCCTTACTTTTTTTTAATGAAAAGACTTTTCTTGATTTTTGTCTGTTATACAATCTCTGTCGTGTAATAAAGTGATTTACATTTTTGAAAATATTTGGCTGTCACATTTCCTCCCTTTGTTTTTCCCTTAGATTCTTATCTATTTTCTAACCCTACCAAATTGCTCATATGTAAACCACCCAAACAGTGTAATGTAGGAACTGGCTGCTTTTAGCCTAGTCGGTTACTGGCCCACTGTTTTTGTCCATTTCAAGTCCCAATCGTGTTTAGAAATGGAAGAAAAAGGAAGGAAAGGAAGAAAGGAGAGCTTCATAAAGAGGAACTGTGAAGACAAGAGGCAGAATTGAATGAGAAACATTAGCTGCATATATTGGACTAGGTCTTCTGGCTCTTTTGATTTTTAATACCAAACTCACTATTTCTGCATCCATTTTCCCCCCTTAGTATTTCTGTAATACGGGGGGGGAAAGGCATTGTCTGGTCTCTCCAGATCTTAGTTGGAGAGGCAATTTGAGCATTCAGAAGATCACAGACTTAGAGCTATCAGGGAGCCTAGATACTATTAATTTTAATGCCTATTTTCCAGATGAGGAAATAGTTCTGGAAAAGATAAGTGACTTATCCAGGGTCTATCTAGAGGTCTATCTAGAGGGGAGAGACAATAGTTCCAGGAACAGCTATGCCATCTTTGAGTTCTGAGGAAAGAATCAAAATCAGGGCATAGAATGATTTTTGGTCTAGATTTGATGAGAGCAAGTTTTTGAGATTTCAGTGAAAGGATAAAACCGATGGTCTGAAATTCTCTGAGAAGTTAGATCAAGAATTATGTGAAATTCTCAGTTATATCATTGTAATGATAGTAACACAAATAGAAATAGAGAATCAATCACCCAACAAGTGTACACTACATGCCTATTCCTTGCCAGGCACTGTGACCGTCTTCCTTCCTTAAGCAGTTCAAAACAATACTTGCCTCTGCTCTCAAATACTTTGCCCAATGTCCTGTGGCTGCTGATGCCTTGCCAAATCCCAATCCTAAATTACTTCCACCATTTGTCTTTTCCCTTACTACTGATATGCTACTGAGGAAGTTATGCAAATGTATTCACTGGTCCAGTCCAATTTTGTTTTATTAACTCAGCTGGACCCTCACAGCAGTGGCAAGATAATACTTTTACTTTTCACTGATTGATTCTCTATCACACTTCCATTAAAGAAGGTCCAAAGCTTCTCTCTTCAAGTCTCTTATACCACCTCTTTCTCGTACTTCTTAGTGGAAGACATTGCTTTATATTTTGTTGAAGAAATATAAAACATTTGATGTGAGATTTCTCCTTTTTTCTCTACAACTCAAAATCCCTTGAAATCATTTCCCATTGCATCCTTCTTTAATCTCTGATGAAGAAATATCCCTTCTTATCTAGATCAACCTTCTATATGTACTTTTCATTTTATCCCCTCCCTTCCTTATTCCTATTTCTTAGAATACCTAGCTTCATTCAAGTCTCACCTCTTTGGGAAGGCTTTCTGGATCCTACAAGTTATCTTGGACTTAGCTGTAAACATGTTGCACCCTGACCCCCTCCAATTACAGTATGGGTTCCTCAAGGCCAGGAAGTCTTTTTTAATGATTATTTGTTTTTATAACTCCAGTGACTAGTAGTAACTAACCTTGTACATGCTAGGCATTTTTGTTGGATTGGATAAAATGATTGGATCAGAATAAAAACGGATCTAAACACTGCTCCACTCTAGTCCCTACTATAGGCATTTTCTTTGGCTGTCCCCTACTCCTAAAATTCTTTCCCTTCTCATCTCTACCACTTGGCTTCCTTCAAGTCTTATCTCTAATCACGCCATTGATAAGAATCTCCCTGATTCCCCTTAATCTAGTGCCTTCCCTCTCTTGATTTTTGCCTGATTTATCTGGTATAGATCTTGTCTGTGCATCGCCGTTTTCATGTTTTCTCCCCTATCGGAGTGCTTGCTCCTTAAAAGAAAGTATTGTCTTCTGCTTTTCTTTGTATCCCCAGGGTTTAAAAGAACAGTGTTTGGCACACAGTAAGTGCTTAATAAAAGTTGGTCTTGTCAACTTGTTAACTACAGGCTGGAAGAATGAACTAGATATAACAAGATAACCTTTTATAGCTATAAAAGTAAAGTCCTACTCTTGAATTGAAAAATCAATTATATATGAACAGTATGGGGAATACATATCCAGACATATTTTATGTAAGAAAGACCCGAGAGTTTTAGTGAATGGGGAGTTCAATGTGAGGCAAGAACACATTTTGGCCTGGGAAATAAATAATTCTGTCTTAGGCTTTATTGATCAAAGGACAGCGTCCAAAGGGAAGGAAGCAATAGTCCCATGCATATGTTCCAGTACACTTGTATTTGTTAGTTCTTTGAGTGCCCTAGTTCAACTGCTTCTTCCCCCTCCTCATGGCAAGATCTTCCCAGAGAATAGTGGGAACTCAGGAGGCCAGGATTGGATTATTATTGTTGTTGTTGTTGTGGGACCAATGATATTAGGAGGGTGATGTCTTGACTTCCAAGCAAGTTGGTTTGAAATGAGGCAGAGCTGTGCAAAATCATCAGCCTCACTCTCTCCTCCAGACTCATCAGGGTCCAATGGCAAGACACAGGGCAAGACAGCTGGCAATGGCCCCAGAAGCAGTGGGGTATCTTGGCCTTTTTAGGGTGAGGGCTTTCCTGGGTCTCATTTTGTCTGGGACAGCACCCATTCAATAATTAAAGTCTAGGTAAAAATTGAGACAAAAGATGGCCTAGTTTGCCTTCACAAAAGAATCAGTCTGGAAGTGGAAGACCTTCAGTTTCTGGCCAGAACAGAAACAATTGCTAGTTATACTCAGCGCCATCAGAATCCAAACAATGGGCAAGTGAGGCTTGGGCAGGGACCTATCATTGGCCAATCAGTGAGATCCAGAGTGATTTGAGTTTAAAGTCAAGTAGCTTTATTTGAATTTCGATGAACTTTTCTTAAAGCCTGCTTTTTTGGAGCCGTAGTTCAATGCATCTTAAATAAAAAAAACTACTTGAGACAAAATAGTTAATTGTCCCAGTCTTTTTGTTTGTTTATTTATTTTTCATTTTTTTTAATTGATAGGAGGAATGAATAGCGAAGAAAAAGTCTAGCCTCTAAAACCCAAGCAATCAAAATTTATATTCCAGGATTCAGATAGTCTGCAAAAGACAGAATCTGATCTAACAGGTTTTCATCATCATGGTCTCCAAAATGCCCTATGCCCTGAGTATGTGTGCTTGTGTCTAGTCTCTCCCTAATTTCTAAATCAAAGGCTTACTAAACCAACATATTCCCTCACACTGGCATTCTCTGTCTGTCAGGCCACTCCCATAACCCAATATAAACATCCTCATTTCAAGCAGATAATGTATATGTGGAACATACTTTCACCAAAAACCACTTCCTCTCCTAAGCTACTGTCATACTTACAGTAACCAGGCCATTCTCCAAAATACCAATGACATACAATAATCTTGAGAATTTTTGCCACTTATAAATACCCTTCTCCTCACCTTTGTTTTCCTTTACAATCATCTGTACAATTGTAGGGAAAGCAAAGAAAAATTTCCAAGACTTTCTCTCTCTCTCTCTTTTTTTCTCTTTCTCTTTCTCTTTCTCTCTTCTAGAAGACAGAACAGAACTAGGAGCCCATGGATGGAAGAGGCAGAAGAGCAGCTTTAGAGCTCAAAGTAGAATCAACTTCTTTTAAAGATAGTGGATTCCCCATTCCTGGAGGTCTTCAGGGCAGGGAATACATGACTATTTGTTGGGTAAGTTGTACAGGAAATTTTTAATAATTTATAGGTTGGACTAGAGATTCTCCAATTCCATGTAGAGCACATATGTGAGATAACAATACAAAACAGTAGATGATGAGTAATAGATGAATTAAAGGTATGAAGGTTAAAGGAAGTTTTGTGTTTTATTTTAAAGCTCTTTATCAAAAAGATAGCTACTGGCCCAAAATGCTGCTGACCTAATGACTATTTAATAACAGGAATGGAAGGCTATCAATTGCATCCTCATTCCCTGAAGTTATGTTCTCTACTTTAAAACAGGGGCTCTATAGGATAAAACCAAGCTGTTTATGCCTCTTAGAGAATCTAATACCCACCCCTACACCCCCTTCTTTGCCCTTGTTATGGGCAACAGTGCTAATCTTACTAGTCTCTTGGTTCAGCCTCTACCCACCAGAAAAGTAACTGCTCCAGTTATATTTCTTTTCATTTCTTCTTCTCTTTCTTTGATTTCTTCCTCTCCTCTCC